AAACTTTGTCTTGAACCCTCCACCCCCCAAAAAGAACAAACAAACAAACCACCAACATCCAAAACCCCGGAGTGGATGAACACGTGAATGGCTCTTGTCTGGTCCGAAGTGGGATTCTTTGGTCTCTTATACTCCACAGATGTCTGTAATGTAGTATGTCAACAAACTGCTATTTCCCTAGAGGCTTCCAGTGCAGCAGTGAGCCTAAGCTTCCAGGGTTGGGTGTGCTCGGGCACACCTGTACGATTGAGACCCCTGGGATACAGATGCTGAGACAGGGCTCTGGTGGAGCACGTGTAGCTGGCCCTTCTGTAGCTGTCTCTTCTACCCATACTAGAAGGGCCCAGGAACTCAGCTGCCATGCTCAGTGTTCTCCCCACACCCAACTCACCTGCCCTGGCCAGTGCTCTCCCCTCTCCTTCCAGGACAAGAGCACACATGTGTGTGCATCTGGTGTCTGAAGAAGCAAGGTGAGACTGGGACCAGCTGACAGAACTTAGATATACCCAGGACAGGTGACTGGCCCTACCTGGGGAATCATGGGATAGAGCCATTGAGAAGTGTCATGGGAGGTGAGAACTCTCCTGTCCCTTGGCAGGTTGCCTGGTGCCTCACTTGGCTATCCATGCAGCCACTTGGGAACCGTGGGAGGACGGTGGCATCCCATCCCTTGGGAGCTGGGTGGCCCTTCTATATTTCAGCTTTCTACCTGAACCTGTGTCCTTGCAGTTAAAAATAGCCAGGAATAAGAGTACAAGGGCACCCTGTCCTTTGCCACTTGGGGATTCTGCTCCCTCTTCCTAAAGAGGTCTGTGTGACTACAGATCGGAGAAGGCAACACCTTGAAGAATCATCCAATCACCCGCCTGTTATCTTAGAGGACAAGCCTAATCCTCTCCCTCTCCAGTCTAGTGTGACTCAAATGAGCTATGGATGTCACCACTGGAAGGCTCTCTGGGGGAGACAGGCATCTGGCAGGAAGTCCCAGAGGCCCTCTAGGCTTAGGACCTTGGCAGACATCACCAGTTAATCCAGTCCCTCTTTCCCAGGACCATGGCAGGCATCACCAATCAACCATGGCACTTTTTTTTTTTTTTCTAAATCCAGACACAGTGTAAGAATTCTTAGCATGGGGTATTTTAGGCAACAGCTACCAGAGAGAGAGAGAGAGAGAGAGAGAGAGAGAGAGAGAGAGAGAGAGAGAGAGAGAATATGAGAATATGTTGATCATTACCAATCTGCCAGAGGGGTTGGAAATTTATCTGCTGTCACGTGGAACGTCCACAGCTGGCACCAGACCCACCATGCCTGGGTCCCCACTAGGGCTTGCCCCCTCTGCCCCTGCTGCTTCTTTTCCCCCTTCAGATCCAAGGCTTCTAGGTGCTGAAGAGCAGCTTTTAACCCGAGACTTACAAGTCCTGAAGATCTCTGCGGTGCATTGTCTGTCTGGCAGGTTGTTTCCTAAGGGAGGAGTGAATAGCATTCATCAGCTCTCAAGAGGCTCCTTCAAGACCAAGAAAAGTGATGAAGTCAGAAAAGAGAGGAATCTTGCTACTCAGTATGTGGGCCACAAATCAACAGCGGCAGCCTCACCTAGGACTTGTCAGAACGGCAGACTTTCAGCTCCCACCACCCCAAATCTGCAAAGTCAGAACCTGCATTTAACCAGACCCCACCCCCACCCCCCACCCCAGCCCCAACCATTTGCACATTCCTGCCGAGAGGTACCAGGCTAAAACTCACTGGGCACAGCCTCTGTGTGAAGCACTGCTGATTGCCAAGCACCTGTACAGCTCTAAGGCAGGCGTGGTCCCTGCCCTCATTTGAGAGAATGAAAAGAACCAGGTGCCACAGCCAACCTGGGCCTAGCAGCTCTTCAGGTCTGCTAAGGCCAGTTCAAGAGACATCATTGTTTAAACTTGGGGTGTGTGGGGAAGGCCCTGGCCTGCATTAAGCTGGAAGTTTCTTGTTGGGAGGAATTAGCTGGCACACAGAAGTGCTATCCTGCAGAGCAGTTCACAGAGAGACTGATCTTGGGATCTAAGGGGCTGAGCAGATCAACAGCAAATCTATTGCTGGAGGCTGCCATTTCTCATAGCTCCCAGTGCTGAAGGCAGCTTGCCAGGGTGGAATTGCTTTTAAGGGTGCTGCTGCTCGGTGCTTTCAGCTGGTTCCAACTGGTCAGCTCTAAGGTATGTCAGTTGAGAAAGGTGTAGATGACACAGAAGGCGAGCAGCTTGTCTTGGTGGGCTTGGGAGGAAGGGATTCCATCATCCCAATCCTACCCTCCACCACGTCCATGTTCCCATTGTTGAGGGCTAGGCTGTTCTGGGACTCTCCATGAGGCCCTGATGTATGGAGAAACCGGAGAAACCTGATTCCTAAAGTCAGGTACATGCTTGGCAAGGCCAGTAATGGCTTGCGGCCAGGCCCTTGGGGAGGCTGTGGCTTTGGAGTCTGAGAACCTAACTCTTCCCCTCAAGGGACGATGGTTTTCAGTCCCAAAGGCCACCATGTGCTCAGTCTGTGGAGCACTTGAGAGACTCCTGTGTTCCCTGTGCAGCATTGCATGATTAGCTTCCTGCTGACTCGGTTCTATTGTGGCGGGTTTTTGCTGACACTTGCATTTTTCCCTTTAGGAAAACCGTATATAAGATGCCACACTTCTTAATAAACTTGCTCGGCCTTAAGACAGCTTGTTCAAAAACCTCCTGATCCCAAATTTTCCTGTCCTCTTTATCTTCTGATCCCCTGGTCCTTCCTCTCAGGGATGTGACACTGAAGAACAATCTGCTGGTCCAGGCCACCCTTGTCATGGTGTTTTCGTTTCCAGGTTCCTGTTGGTGTTCAAGTACATTCTGAGATGAAGGTTTGCCTGGCGTCCAGCAAGGTTCCCAAACTAGCTCCTTGTTTAGCTAGAATGTTCCCTATCCCTGCAGAGGCCTTCCCTACCCTAAACTACCGTCTCCTTGACTTTGTGGGTTCAATGTAGAATGGGATTAAAGTCAGGTCTGGGATATGAGATGATATGGATGGATATGTTACACACACAGACACACACACACAGACACACACACAGAGACACACATACACCTCTTATTGGAATGTAATCCACATATTATATAGTTCACCTATTTGGCTTATAGAGGATACAATTCTGTGGGTTTTAGTATATCGACAAATGCAACTATCATCCCAAGCCAGGTGTATATTTTTGTTACCCCCTAAAGATACTTTGTATCCATGACTACTTTCCATCCTTCCTCACTCCTGCCCTGGCAAACACTAACCTTTTTTTTTTTTTAACTTTTTATTGGTTCTTTGTGAACTAAATATCATGCACCCCCAACCCCACTCGTCTCCATCATCCTCCACCCTTGTAACCTTCCCCCAACAGAGAAAAAGATTTCACTGTGGAAGCGGTAGTGTGTCACAGTACAACCAAACAACCACACTTCTTTGCTTGCAACATTGCAATGACTTGGTCTGGTACGAGGCCTCTGGCTTCTGCTGCTCTATGGATACCCGCACCTCACTGAGATCTTCCAGGATAGCCTGTTGTTACTCGGTGTGAAGATCCTGTAGTTTTGGCTCTGTAGGACCGGCCCCTTCATGCACTCCAGCAGTTCACTAATGGTGTAAATGTTCGAGTGGACCAACTCAAAGTCCTGGCTCTGGGCCTGAGAGGTAGCTGAGCTGGTCAGCCCACAGGCTCTCCTACACTCACGCCCTTGAGCCTGCTCACCCACAACCCCCACATCCAGGGCCAGCTTTATGTGCTGCCCAGGCAAGGTGCAGGGCCTGTGCTCCCAAGTGACACAGCAGGTGAGGGGCAGGGCCATCTCTTCCACTCTGATGACCTCCAGGCCAGTTCTCCTGCCTGCTGTAGGTGGTAAGGCAGGGGTTGGGAGGGGGGCTCATCACTCCCTCATCCATGTCACTTCACAGCAAAAAGAAAAAAAAGCGGCAGGGCCAGCTCTCCCATGCTCATGTCCTCAGGCCAGCTCGCCCCTGCCCCTGGCACCAGGGTCAGGATGTGGGCCAGCTCTACTGTGCTGCCCAGGTGAGGTGTGAAGCCTGCCCTCCTGAGTGCTGCAGCTGGTGAGGGGCGGGGACGGCTCTCCTGCTCTCATGACTCCAGGGCCAAGTCTCCTGTCTGCCACAGGTGGTGAGGGGCAAGGGAGGAGGAGGGAGGTATCTGTCCCTTGTCCACACAATGGAACGGGAGAAGAGTAATAGGGCCAACTCCCCCACCCTAGTATCCTTGGAGTCTGGCTCACCCACAATCACAAAATCAAATGTTTGGGATGGGAGTGGCTGTTGTTGGGGAGGGGTCTTCTCTCCTGAGTACCGTAGCTGGCCAGGGGATGGAGTTAGCTTCCCTGCTCTCAAGCCCCCAGGACCAGCTCTCCCATGGTGCCTAAAGTGAGGGGTGGGGACAGTTTTGCACAGTCCTCAGACATCAACATGTTCCTGAGCAAGCAGCCCAGACCAGGGACATCTGCCTGGCCTTTGGTGGTAACAGACCCAGCTGCCGAGTCTCCAGTTCTGCCTCTCTTCACTGTGCCCACATCCTTCTGTTTCTCTTTCTCTCTCATTTCTCCACCACTGACTTGCTCCTCTTAGTGGTGCCTCAGGTTATCTCAGGTCTCTGAGTGCCTGAGGTCATCTCAGGAGTGGTCTCAGGAGTGCTGTGCCCCACTCAGGCATTATGGCAGCAAGCAAGGGTCGTCTCTGGCATGGTCTATTCCCCCAGGCCTGCACAGTGCCCAGTGGGTCATCATCTCAGGCTAGCTCCCTGTCCAGGACCAGTGTTGACAGTCTGGTTGTCATCTTAGGCTAGCTCCTCACCTGGCTTGTCTGAGTGGCCCCATGCAAGGGCCGTCTGTCTCTCTCAGGACCCTCAGCTCCAGGCAGGGCTCTTTGAGGTGACTCACTCCTAGTCCTGGGAACGGTTGGGGTCTGTGCGGCACCTGGACTGGTGGTCTTCTCAGGCTCACTCTACAGGATATTAGGTTTCAGATGTTCCTAGATCAGAACTCTGAGCAGAGACATGGCCTCTCTCCCCCCTGTCACGGATGCACACATGACACAGCAGCCACACCTGCAAGGCTTCCAGGGACAAGTAGTCTTTTTATTTCAATAGATTTGCTTCAGTGTCTTATGTAAATCAAGTCATTGAATGTGTGTGTGTGTGTGTGTGTGTGTGTGTGTGTGTGTGTGTGTGTGCATGAGAGAGAGAGACAGAGAGACAGAGAGATTGGTTTCTTTTATTTAGCATAATGTCAAGGTTTATGTCGTAACATATAAAGCTCTTTGTTCCTTTTTATAGTGGAGTAATCATCTAATTGTGCGTATACGCCATGGCTTGCTTGTCTGTCCATGACTTTATGGACTTGTGGACTTTCTGGATCTAGTGATGGATGCTGCTTTGCACTCTACACAGACTGAGCTTGCCTCTCACCTCTGCCACTTTCTTGGTGAGGAACCTTTGGCAGATTGCCCCAGTTCTCAGAGCTTGGAGTTTCTGGGAACTGGGAAGACTGTGTCTACCTCAGTGTCATTGGTAATTGTGGCTGTAATCTACTCAGTACCCTTACCTTGCTGTGACAGGAGCGGTGCATATGTTATGCCATGAATCCAGCCCCACAAGGGACAGGAGGGAATCTAGTTCACAGTCAGTATGGCTCTCTGCTGTGATGGGCTGCATACTGCCTCGTCATAATGAATCATTTAGTGACTAGATGAATTTTTTTTCTCCAGTGTGTGTGGCCAAGCCTCCCCAAGATTGTCCATCCTCTGGATCTATTACCACATTTCTTTCTTCTTCTTTTCTCTTACACTTTTGTTTTAACCTTTGAAATATACAAAAAGTACAGTGGCCGGAAACGCTCTCCATGGCCGTCTTGCCTACTTCCTGATGCCACTAGAGCCACTGGAGTGTCATTTCTCACACAGGACTTGCTCCTTCACCTCAGGCTCAGAGTTATTCCTAAGACAGGACTCCCACTGACTCATAAATAACGTTGAATATGAGCAGGAACTAGACCTCGGTATAAGTCACTGAAATTTGGAGCCTTTGCTACTGCAGCATAGCCCAGTGAAAGCGGACTGATACATCAAGTCCTTCCAAAGGTATGTAGTGGATTCTATCACTGTGGCTAGCATGCGAGGGAATCAAGGCTTATATAAGTGCAGTAACTTTTGTTAGTTGCTCAGAAAGTGACAGAGGCTAAGCTGGGATATATTCAAGGGCAGAGTACTTGCCTAGCATGGACAAAGCCCTGGACTCAGATCCCAGGACTACAGAGGAGTGATGGGGAAGAGGGCTACTCCAATCCTCAGCCCGGTTATGCAGCTCCAGAGCCTGTGCCGCTGAGACGGAAGTGAGTGGGTTGTTCGGTGAAGGATGAGTAACCGGGTGTAGCTGGAGCACCTGCTAAGAGCGTGGCATCAGGCTTTGTAGTACAGGTTTGGAACAAATCCTGGAAGTCTTGGATGCTGTGTGTACCATGAAGCTTCCCAGTGCCCGACAGGACATAGGCTGTACCTTTGCCCACAGTCCACTGCTTTCAGTGTGGTGTATGCAGTGTCCTGGTGGAAATGGCTTCCTGAGAAGAGGTTGGCGGGGTGTAGGCTGTCTCTCTCTGACTGTTTTGAGGCTCCTTCACTATAAGGCCATTTCATGTCGGCCAGGACAGAGAGAATAGCTGCATCCCCTCCTCGGCTGAATGTAGGACCCCTCCCCCATTGTATTTACTCTGCATCCAGAATGTTTGAGCTACCATTGACCTTTTGAGTGCACAATTTCCCCCCACCTTCTGCCCACACGCTTTCCACTTGTCAACATAACCTTCAGCTGCACCAGAGCACAGCCCTTGCATGGTCAATGAAATACTATTTTATTTGCAATTAAGTATAATTCAGCGTTGAAACGGTTCTGCTTTCAAGCCAGACTCCGCCTCTGCCTCTGGGGTAAGATTAATTATCTCTCTCCCCGGGTCTCATAATGCCGCGCACACATCTCTGCCCTTATTCTATGCTACATTGTAATTATGGCACCTTGAGTTATAATTGCCCCTTTACTTGCCTGCCTCTTCAGGTAGACGGAGTTGCAGCAATGTCTGGGTTTCATTCATCCGAGTTGTGAGTCTCCAGCAGGGGCTGTGGTACTGAGTAGGTAATTAATGAAGAGATCAGTGAATGAGAATTACCTGTTCCCCCCCTCCCCTCCCCCACCCGATAGCCCCTTAAGGATTGTTCTTTGGACACCCCACCCCTACACTGAGAAAAACACAGTGTAAGAAATAAGCCCTGTAGGTGCAAATAGAATTCCTTTATAGGGCAGAAGCCGGTAGGGTTACAAAGCCCTGTGTATGTTACAGACTGTAGCCTGGAAAGTCTCTCACACCCTCCCTTCTGTCTCCCTTGCATCTGAATCCTCACCACTCACCTTTCTTCCTTGTCTTCCCTCTCTGTGTCGAGACGGTCTTTCCTTCAGACCCTCTGTAGTAGGCCTCCAAGAAGGCCAGAGACATTCTCTTCTCTTTATCCCCAAAGGCAAAAGTGATAGGGTCTGCAGAGAACCAAGATCCTGCTCTTACTTCAGCTTTCTGCCCACTTTGGTACATTAGCACCAGATCTCCGCCTCTCCTTGAGAAAATGGTCCAGACTCAGCGTCAGTGGCAGCATGTGGGGGAGGGGATAGCCATGAGCACTTCTCATGGTTGAACTTAGTGATGGGATGTCCTGTGAAAGCATTAAGGTGTTTTTTTTTAAATAGCTGTTAATATTTGTGTGTGTGTGTGTTGTATGTATATGGAGTGTGTGTGTGTGTGTGTGTTGTACAGAATACAGGTGTTCGTGCTGATGCCTTATGGAGGGCAAAGAAGGACATTTGTTAGATGTCTTACTCTCTGTCACTCAATTGAGCCAGGGGCCAGGCTGGTGGCCAGCAAGCTACAGTGGCCTTCCTGTTTCTGCTTTTCGAATCCCTGTAGTTACAGATGCTTGTGACCATACTCATATTTTTTTTCAAATGTGCTTTGGATCCAAACTCAGGGCCTCCTGGAGCTTTTCCTCACTGAGGCATTTCCCTAGCCCCTGAAGCATGATTCCTCTGGGGCAGCTGATGGAGAGGACATGTTATTTTACAATACACTAGATGAAATGACTGTGTCTTCTAGTGTTGAAATTGTCTCTCCTGTGAGCCAGGCCCAGGCCTTTATGCCTGACCAGCAGCACTGTGACCTCTGCACTTGGCTAGCACCACGGACAGCTCCCACGACAGCGCAGAAGTGGTGGGAGGTGGTGGCGGTGGCGGCTGCTGCTTGGTTTCTATGCCCAACAGTGTCTGAGGACTTTAAAAATCACTCATGACTTTGTACCAACAAGAAGGCCAAAGCCTTGTATAATTTAGCTTCTGCCCACATTGGTTATCCAGCACCATAATCCTGGAGATGCTGAAATGTGTGTTTCAGTATCAATGAGATGACCACTCTTAGGCCTGGTACTGGAGAACAGATGACGTTGAATGAGGTCAGTGATAATATGCAGACTTTCCTTAATGCCAGATGGTCCCAGACTAGATCCTACTCCTTCCTCTCCCATCCTGAGTGTTGTCTGCTTTCTGTACATTTAACAGATCTTTCTTCTGGAGGATGCAGGTGTGGGCCAAGTCGACATTCACCAGCAATCTTTCCTCCATCACTCCCCAGCAAAGATTCTCTGCTCTGAATGCCATTCTTCAGAAATGGCTTCCTGCTGAAGGGCAATCTATGTGTTCACCTACCCAGCCCAGCGCATGCTCTAGGGAGCCTCCCAAATCTGTATCCTGTGGCCTAGCGTCTCCAAGCCTTAGGTTTGTGCCTTGCAGAACTGTGCACAAATGGTCATCAAAAGACATGTACAAGAATAGTCTTGGCAGAGCCATTTGTAATATCTCCATATGGAGATTACCCGAGTGCTCACCAATAATAGAATGCATGGGAATTATTTTGATACATTCACACATTGTACTACAATAAAGAGAGTGAATGAAAAACCATTAGAACGACAAACATCACAAACATAATTTTGAACGAAGGAAGCCAGACAGTTAAAGACAATATATTAGGTGGTTCTAGGTATTAAAATTACAAGACAGGCTGGGGAGATGGCACACCCAGTAAACTGCTTGCAGTACAAGTGTGAGCACTCAAGGTTGATCCCAGCAGGCCTGTAAAAAGCAGCAGTGCCCATCGCTAATGCCAGCACTGGGTAGGCAGAGACGTACAGGTTTCTGAGCTCTCTGGACAGTCACTCTAACCTATCGGTGAGCTCTAGGCTCAGGGGTCTCAAGAGATAAGGGGGAGAGTATTTGAGGAAGACACACAGCATTGACCTCAGGTCTCTATACATCCACACAAATGTAAACCACACACACACATATTCACACACAGAGAGGAGGGGAGAATATAATGTACAACACAGTTTTCTTCTTAGGAGTCCAAGCAGTTATACTGTTCTTGTGGTGGGTAGCTGGGTACAGGTGGGGATGCTTCGGGGCATCGGGAAAGTTCTGTTTCCACATCTGGAAGCTGGCACTTGTAAAATATTCATCAGAGCTCAGAGCACCCAAAAACCATATAGTACATAATTGTATACTTGTCTTTGTGTATATTATAATCCAACAAACACTTGCTTTAAAAACATCTCCCTCCTAGGCTGGGTGTGGTTAGACACATCTGTAATCCCAGCAATAGAGAACCTGAGGCAGGCAGATCTCTGTGAGTTCAAGGGTAACCTGACATCTGTTTCAAGTACCAGCCAGCCAAAACTACATAGTGAGACCTTATTCCCCCCCCACCACACCAAAACAAAAAAACAAAAACAAAAAAAAAACAAAAAACAAAATAAACTCTGTCCAGAGAAGAAGAGAGGGTCTAAGACTTTCCGTGCACGCTGACGTAGGAAGTTGAGGTGGGGTGTTCTGGCTGCATTTGGAAGTACTCCACCTGAGAGAATGCCAAGCTCACTGGGGGAAAGGGAAGTGGATCGGCTGCATGAGGCTGGGGCGGTAAATGAGGATCAGGTCAGAAAAGCAGTGTGTTACAGCCTTTGATGTATTCTGTAAGCCGTGGGATGT